GGTATCTCATTGTGGTTTTGATTTGTATTTCCCTGATGGTGAATGATGTGGAGCATTTGTTCATGTGTCTGTTGGCCATCTGGATGTCTTCTTTGGAGAAGTGTCTATTCATGTCTTTTGCCCATTTCTTCACTGGATTATTCGTTTTTTGGGTGTTGAGTTTGATCAGTTCTTTATAGATTTTGGATACTAACCCTTTATCTGGTATGTCGTTTGCAAATATCTTCTCTGATTCTGGTCGGTTGCCTTTTAGTTTTGATGATTGTTTCCTTCCCTGTGCATAAGCTTTTTATTTTGATGAGGTACCAATAGTTCCTTTTTGCTTTTGTTTCCCTTGCCTCGGGAGACGACGTGTTGAGTAAGAAGTTGCTGCGGCCAAGGTCAAAGAGGTTTTTGCCTGCTTTCTTCTTGAGGATTTTGATGGCTTCCTGTCACATTTAGGTCTTTCATCCATTTTAAGTTTATATTTCTGTATGGTGTAAGAAAGCAGTCCAAGTTCATTTTTTTTGCATGTCGCTGTCCAGTTTTCCCAGCACCATTTGCTGAAGAGACTGTCTTTATTCCATTGTATATTCTTTCCTGCTTTGTCAAAGATTAGTTGGCCATACATTTGTGGGTCCAGTTCTGGGTTCTGTATTCTGTTCCATTGATCTGAGTGTCTGTTTTTGTGCCACTGTATTCCTCTTTTTAAAATCTTCTCAAAAATTTAATTGTATTCTACTTTTTAAAACCTTCTCAAAGATTTTTTTTAAATGCATAAATAGCCATTATTAATCTAATCTATTTTTATAAACATAATGTATAAATGTGTATCTTGTGTCATCAGGAACAGAGAGTGGGGGATGTAGCTATGAAGGAGCAGAGTTAACGTATCCTATTGTACTTTACAACTTATAAGCCAAAAAATAAATCACAAGAGTAATTACAAATACTTTGAAAATGAATGAAGACAATACACCAAAATTTATGAGATGCAGTGAAAGCAGTGCTCAGAGGAAAGTTTATAGCTATAAATGTCTACATTGAAAAAGAGGCAAGATCTAAAGTCAACACCTAATTTTACACCTTAAAGAACCACCTAAAAAGAACACCTAAAAAGAAAGCTAACTAAACCCAAAGTTACTAGAAGGAATGAAATAACATTAGAGCAGAAATAAGACAGAGTAGAAAAATAATAAAGAAAATCAATGAAACCAAAAGTTGGTTCTTTGAAAATATCAACAAATTTCTGAAACTTCTAGCCAGGCTGGCAAAGAGGAATTAAAAAAAAGAAAAAGAAGATGCAAATAATTAATATCAGAAATGAACCTGGGCAGATTACTGATTTCACAGAGATAAAAAGGATTATAAGAGCTTATTAGGAACAATTGTATATCAACTAATTAGACAACCTAAAAGAAATGGATAAATTCCTTGAAAAACACAATTTACTTTAAAAAAGAAACAAATATTTCAACAAACCTATAACAACTCAAAACATTGAATTGGTAATCAAAAACCTCTCAATGACAAAAGGTCCTGGACATATAGCTTCACTGGTAAATACTACCAAACAGTTAAGAAATAGTTAAATAAACTAATGCTTTTCAAATTCTTCAAAAAAATTGAAGAGGAGGGATCACTTCCTAAATGGTTCTGAGGCCAAATCTGCCTTTATACAAAAGCCAGATAAAGATAGTAAAACAAAATAAAATTACAGACCAAGATCCCTTGTAAATATAGATGTAAAAATACTCAATAAAATATTTGCAAATAAAATCCACTAGAAAAAAATTAATTATTTAAAAAAATGATATCCACTATAATATTGAAAGGTGTTTCACCATAAATGGGATTTATCCCAGGAATGCCAGAGTAGTTCAGCCGAAGTAAATTAATCAGTGCAATACATCACATTAATACTTATGAAGGAAAAAAAAAAATCACATGATTATTTCAACTTACCCAAAAATGGAATTTGATAAAATCCAACATTCTTTAATAATAAAAAAATCTCAGAAATCTAGGAATAGAGGGTAAATTCCTCAATATATGATAAAGAGTAAACTTGGAAAACCCATAGCTAACATCACACTTAATGGCAGAAACTAAAAGTTTTCTCCCTAAAATCAAGAACAATACAAGGATGCCTAATCTCATTGCTGCTATTTAGCATTGTACCAGCAGTTATGGTCTGGGCATATTACACTAGAAAAAGAAATGAAAAAGCATCCAAATTGGAACAAAAGAGTAAAATAATGTTTATTTGCAGATGACATCATCCTATACATAGAAAATCCCCAAAAATCCACAAAGAGCTAATAGAGCTAATAATCAAACTCAACAAAATTGTGGAATCAATACACAAAAATCAGCTGTGTTTATACACACATATTTGAACAATCTGAGCATAAAATTAAGAAAACAATTCCATTCCCAAGAGCAACCAAACAAATCAAATACTTAGGAATAAATCTAACCAAGGAGGTGAAATATTTGTATGTTGAAAACACCAAAACATCCTTTCTTCAAGAAACCAGAGAATATCTAAATAAGTAAAGTCATACCATGTGCATGGATAGAAAAACTTAACATGGTTAAGTTGTCAACATGATCGAAAGCAATGTACAGATTTAATGCAATGCCTATCAAAATTCTAACAGACTTTTTTGTACAAATGAAAATCCAATCCTCAATTTCATATGGAATTGCAAGAGCCATAAATTGACAAAACAATCTATGAAAAAGGATAAAGTTAGAGGACTCCCATTTTTCAACTCTGAAATTTGAAATTTACTATAAAACCACAGTAAATTAAACAATGTGGAACTGGCAGAAGAGACATATAAACCAGTGGCATGAAAGACAGAATAAAAGCTAACCCTCACATATATGATCAGTTGATTTTCAACAAAGGTACAAGACCAGTAGGGAAAGGAGAGTCTCTGAAAAAGTGCTGGTAAAATCCTGATATCTACATGCCAAAGAATGAAGTTAAAACCCTATCTTACACCGTATACAAAAACTAACTCAAAATGGATCAGAAGCCTAAACTTTAGAAGAAAAACTATAAAACTTATAGAAGACAATATTGGAGGAAAACTTCATCACATTGGATTTGGCTTTGATTTCACAGATATGACACCAGAGGCATAGGCAACAAAAGAAAAAAATGGACTTCATCAAATTAAGAACTTTTGTGCATCAAAAGATACTACCAAGAAAGTAACACAACATACAGATTTGGAGAAAAGCTTTGTAAATCATGTATCTGATAAGGGATTAATGTCCACAATACATAAAGGACACCTAAAACTCAACAACAAAAACCCAATTCAAAAATGGAAAAGGACTTGAACAGATATTTCTCCAAAGAATATATACAATGGCCAATAAGTACATGAAAAGGTGCTCAACATCATTAATCATTAAGGAAATTGCAATCAAAAGCACAAAAGATATAACACTTCAAATCCATTAGTATAGCTATTATTTAAAAATTGGGAAATAACAAGTGTTAGTGAAAATGTGGAGAAATTGGAACTCTTGCACATTGTGGGTAGGAGTGCAAAATAATGTAGTAGCTATGAAAAACAGTTTTGTTTTTCAAAGAATTAAACACAAAACTCTCATATGACCCAGTGTTTACAATCCTACCTACATATCCAAAAAAAACCCAAACAAATGAAATCAGGGACTCAACGAGATATTTGTACACCAATGGTCATAGCAGCATTATTCACAACCACCAAATAAATGGATAAACAAAATGTGGTATATACACACAATGGAGTATTATTCAGCCTTAAAAAGGAAGGAAATTCTGATATGATATAACATGAATGAACCTTGAGGACATAATGCTAAGTGAAATAAGGCAGTCAGAAAAAGACAAATACTGTATGATTACACTTAGATGAGGTACCTAGAGCAGTCAAATTCATAGAGACAGAAAGTAGAATAAAGGTAACCAAAGTCTGCCAAGTGGGAGGAATAGGGAGTTAATTGTTTAATGATACAGAGTTCATGTTGGAGATGATGGACAGACACATTTGAGTTAAAAATAGTAGTAATGGTTCTACAATATTGTGAATGTATTTAATGCCACTGTATTGTATACTTATAATACATTAAAATGCTAAATATCATTACATATATTCGACCACAATAAAAAAGACATTGCTTCTTTTTTAAAAAATGTTTTATTTATTTATTTTTGAGAGAGAGAGAGCACAAGCAGAGGAGGGGCAGAGAGAGAGAGGGAAGCACAGGATCCGAAGAAGGCCCCAGGCTCCAAGCTGTCAGCACAGAGCCCAACGTGGGGCTCAGTCTCACGAACCATGAGATCATGACCTGAGCTGATGTCAGACGGTTAACCAACTAAGCCACCCAGGCACCCCAATAATACTTGCTTCTATGTCACTGTCAAGTTTATAACAAAAGTTCAAAACACTTACAAATTCCTAAAGGGAATGTAACATCCTTCTCCTTTGCCTCTGGAAATGTTGTTTAAAAAAATTCCCTTAACCACAAAGGCCTAATAACACCAATATGTAGTTATTCCATATACAGATTGTCTGTTTTTGTTTCTTCACCTACTGAGAATGGCCCTGATGATGACAGTCTATTAGGATTATTGCAAGCATTTGAAAACATAGTTGCCGTTTCAGTGCTTTAAACATTCATTACTTAATCATTTAAGGCCTTATTTTGTTCATTTGTTACAGGGAGGCATTGAACTAGGCTAATTCTGAGTAAGTGTCTCATTCTGAAAGGATGTGCTTCTGAAAATCTTCTAATAGATTAAAGGTATTTATTTTAACAGGTTCTGTGGAGATACACAGGAAAGAAACCAGACACGTTAGGACCCAATACCCGGCTATATGAATGGATTCCCCAGAATGATCTTCTTGGTAAGACCAAAGAGAAGCAAAACTCAACAGAGGTGAATGAGGGATCCTCTGAATGATAATTTAGTAACGGATCAATCCAACAAATTTGTGTTAAAAACAAGCAAAAAACTCTTTAATTTCTTCTTTGCATTTCTTCTGGAACTTGTTAAAGAAAAAATTCTTCATGATACTTGTTAAAAACTGTGAGGCACACTTTATTCAAGACCATTATGATGAATATAGATACTTGTTCATGGACTTCTGCAGTGAAGCAGAGAGACTGGACTCAACTCTGAATACAATAAGAAAAAGTGGGGATCTTATAGCCAAGGAGCAGAGTGGGGGTCACTGGGTAGAAAAATACTAAGAGGAAACATCAGGGCAAGGGAGGGATTCTGGCTACACCAAGCTAAGCAGATTCTTGCCAAAAACAGACCAGGGTCATCAAACACCACCTGGGGAAAGTGAAGGATGAGGAAACCAATCAGATATAAATATGGGTGATCAGATACCAAACTGGGGGAGTCTAGCTAAACTGATTTAGTAGGATTCTTGCTAAAATTGGGCAATGCAGAGAGAAATTCAGAAGCTCCAAAATCAGAGCCTAGTTGAGAAGAGAGTTCAAAGAAATTTGACTAGAGTTTGGTCAAGGAGCAAATCTTTCCCGAGCTCTAAATTACAATCAAAATATAATTCTCCCATTTATGACTCCTCAGAGTCAGAGTCAACACACTTTTAGATCAGGCTCTCATTAACTCTTGCATAAAATACTGCAGCAGCCTCCTGGTTCTCTATATCCACTTACTCCCACCTCTCTTCTTTCCTCCTCTGTTTGAAAAAAAAAAAAAGTGAGAATCCTATTCACCATCTCTAATATTATAAATGTCTCTATACTACTATAAAATCAAATGAAAAATCCCATTTTATTAAACAGAGTGCTTCATGAACTTTCCCTAATTTATCTTCCTAGACTGTTTTTTTTTT